TGCAAAACACGCTCTTCCCCCGAACAAGCATAGTGTCAATAAAGATCCTGTTGCATTTGTGGTGTGCAGTCCGGGAGGCCCCATATGATGCATAGAATTCCCGGACGAGGGTCTCATTATACTCCGCAGGTGGCTCAGTGAAGCACTCCCATTTTCTTGCTTTTATGTTCTCCAAGATGTGGGGGTACTATTCTTGTATCCCATTCAAGCTCAATTGATTCTCGGCCAGGATTTTTCATTTGGTGATCCCTTCTCTATACAATGCCCTGGAACCCTCAACCCCAAATCGGAGTTGGAAATCATCTCCTTGCTTCCTTCTTGCCTCAACTTGTAAGTCAACTGAGGGAAAGAGCTCCTCCTCATCAAACTGGGAGGGAGGCGGAACATTAGGGTCCGTTCTGGATTGTTTTGCTTATAACGCTTGACGAATGGTGGATGCCCTTTTCTGGGCTGAGGATGCATGATTCTTGGGAGCCATGTCAGCACAAAAGTGAAATTCGAGCGACATTGTAAGCAACAATGAAAAGAAAATAGAAAAATTTAAAGAAAAGTTGAAAATGCGACATGTTTTGCGGTCGCATAACCACTATGTGGACAACAAACTTGTTGCAAACTTAATTGTGCACTACTGGATCCCAGTCTGTGATGGGTTATGCGATCACATAACCACTATGCGGACCGCATAACCATAATAAAACTTATTAGCTCACAAAACAAAATAACAAAATGCGATCATAGACTCCACCGCAAAGTGGAAAATGCGATCGCAAAAAAGCCGCAAAAAGCAAGGTTTTAACTGGGTGGTCTGTTTCAGTTTGTAGTGACTTTGTGGTTCGCATATCAATTATGTGATCACAAATGTCGCCGCATTTCAACATCATCCTCAGTCAACTAGGGTTTAATTATGTGGCTGAAATACAAATCGTATTTTGATTTTGCGAGTCGCAAATGCCATCGTTCTCAACGATTCAATTCATCCCTCAACAATGGCGGTCCTATTTCTTTCGACCTAGCACCCCCAAAACACCTACTCAACTACGTGCTTATTACGAACAGGTCTCTAAACACAGAAAACAAGGAAAAAAATAACAAGGGAAATATAAAGCAAAAACTAGGGAAACAAGACTACGAATAAATGCACAACCAAAGCTTGAAATTATGGAATTGGCCCAAGGAAAACATACCAGTGATGATGTTTCTGAGCACACTTGGAGTATTAGATCAACACTTAGTCATTTTTGTTTCTTCTCCGTTCATTTTCTCTTCGTTTTTGTTTTTTTTTGTTTTGTTTTGCTTCTGATAAAGTAAAAAAAAACAATTACCTTTTGTTCGTTTTGAATAGAAAGAGACGAGTGTGATACCTGCAAGAATTGCAATGGACAAGTCACCACATAACACACTATGCGACCGCATAAGTGTTATGCGGTGGGGTCGAGTGACATGCTGAAGGGCCAGAAATGCGGTGCACTATGCGATCACATAGTGAAGATGCGGTCTGCAAAGTGCACTAATTTGCACATTGTCTCCTCAATTTTAGCCAAACACACTGTGTTGGTTTGCGACTGAAATGCGGTCCGCATAGCGAATATGCGATCGCATATGTGTAGCAAACTTCACACGGTGATTTTTCTTCCCTTCCTTATGTAATCCTACCCAGTGTTATGATCTTTTGAATTCCCTGCACTCTAACACACACTTTTAATTTCTCAAGTAAATCTATCTAACAAAAAACAAAAATTTAAAGAACAAAAAGGTGTTACCACACATGGGTTGCCTCCCATGAAGCGCTTGATTTAATGTCGCGGTACGATGAAGTTGGTGTTCCTTTGGATTCACTTATTGGTCAGGCACAGACCATATTTGAGAGCCAGTTGCTCCACCAAATGTTTTTCTACATCTGTGCCCAAGTAGTGCTTGATTTGTTGGCCATTTACTTTGAATGTTTGGAGCCCATCTTCCAATGCTAGTTCCACAGCTCCAAAAGAAGAGACATTGACCACTTTGAATGGACCGGACCATTTTGATTTGAGCTTGCCTGGAGACAATTTGAGCCTTGAGTTAAAGAGCAAAACTAAGTCATCTGACTCTTGTCATGGACGAACTTCATCCTTTCTTTGTACATGGTTGCGCTTTCATAAGAATGGAAACGGAATTCCTCCATTTCATTGAGTTATGTTAACCTCAAATTTGCAGCCTCAGCCCAGTCCAATTTCAACCTCTTTAACGCCCATATGGTCATGTGCTCCAGTTCCACGGGTAGATGACAAGCTTTTTCGAAGACTAACCGATAAGGAGAAGTACCAATAGGAGTCTTGTACGCTGTGCGGTATGCCGACAATGCATCATCTAGCTTCCTTGACCAGTCAGTCCTATTTGCATTAATAGTCTTTGCTAGAATGCTCTTGATCTCCCGGTTGGAAACCTCAACTTGACCACTTGATTGCGGATGATAAGGTGTGGCAACCTTGTGCTTGATGCCATATTTCTCAAGTAGCCCCGTGAAAGCCTTGTTACAAAATGAGACCCCCATCACTAAGAATAGCTCTAGGAGTTCAAACCGAGTGAATATGTTTTTCTTCAAGAACGTGGTCACACTCCTTGCCTCGTTGTTTGGTAGGGCAATCACTTCAACCCATTTGGACATATAGTCCACATCTACCAAAATATATTTCATCCCGCAAGAGCTTAGAGAGGGGCCCATGAAATTAATTCCCCACACGTCGAAGATTTCTATCTCCATCACAAAGTGCATTGGCATTTCATGACTCTTGGAGATTGAACCTTGTCTTTGGCATTGGTCACAAGCCTTGACCATTTGATTGTCATCATGATAGATTGAAGGCCAATAGTAACCACATTCAAGAACCTTAGTCGCCGTTCGATTTCCTCCATGATGACCCCCAACCGGTGAGTCGTGGCATGCCTTTAGAATTGGCATAATCTTTTTTTCCAGAACACACCTTCTGATAATATTGTCAGCACAAACACAGAACAAGAATGGCTCCTCCCAATAGTATTGCTGGCGGTCTCTCAAAAACTTCTTCTTTTGATAGGATTCCAATCCGTCCGGGATAAGGTCACTAACCAAATAGTTAGCAATATCGGCATACCAAGGATCAAAAGTGCTAGATAGTGCCAATATGTGTTCATCCGGGAATGCATCATTGATCTCAAGATCTCCCTTTGGTCTCCCTGCCTCCTCAAGCCTTGACAAATGATCCGCCACTTGATTTTGAGTTCCCCTGCGATCCTAGACTTCGAAGTCAAATTCTTGCAACAATAAGACCCATCAAATCAGCCTAGGTTTTGCATCCTTCTTTGCCATGAGATAGCAGAGAGCAGTATGATCTGTGTACACTATCACCTTAGATCCCACCAAATAAGCCCGGAACCTCTCAAAGGCATAGACAATGGCAAGAAGTTCTTGCTCAGTTACCGTGTAGTTCATTTGTGCCCCATTGAGCATATTTCTTGTATAATAGACCGGGTGGAGAACTTTGTTGTTACGTTGGCCAAGCATTGCTCCAATAGCTACACCACTGGAGTCACACATGAGCTCGAAAGGAAGAGACCAATAGGGTGTGACAATAATAGGTGCCGTGGTGAGCCTTTGCTTCAATTCCTCAAAGGCTTTGAGGCATTTCTCGTCAAACACAAATTTGGCATCTTTCTCAAGGAGTTTGCACATAGGATTTGCAATCTTGGAGAAGTCCTTGATGAAGCACCTATAGAACCCGGCATGCCCCAAGAAACTTCGAACACCTTTATCGGAAGTAGGTGGAGGAAGCTTAGAAATAATCTCGATCTTTGCCTGGTCAACCTCTATGCCACGCTTTGAAATTTTATGTCCCAACACGATGCCTTCATCCACCATGAAGTGACATTTCTCCTAATTTAGCACAAGGTTGGTCTCTTCACATCTCTTAAGCACTTGTCTAAGATTGTTAAGACAATGCTCAAAAGAATCACCTACCACCGAGAAGTCGTCCATGAAGACTTCTAGAAAATCCTCTACCATGTCGGAGAAAATAGACATCATGCATCTTTGAAAAGTAGCCGGAGCATTGCATAAACCAAATGGCATCCGGCTGAAAGCAAAAGTTCCATAGGGGCAAGTGAATGTCATCTTCTCTTGATCCTCCAATGCTATGTTGATTTGGTTGTAACCAGAATATCCATCAAGGAAATAATAAAATGACCTTCCCGCTAGCCAATCAAGCATTTGATCGATAAAAGGCATAGGGAAATGGTCTATGCATGTGGCACTATTGAGATTTCGATAATCCATACACATCCTCCAACCGATCACCATTCTTGTTAAGATGAGCTCATTTTTCTCATTTTCGATTATGGTTATGCCTCCCTTTTTCGGCACACATTGCACTGGGCTCACCCAAGAACTATCGGCAATAGGGTAGACTACCCCGACATCCAACCATTTGATGATTTCTTTCTTTACCACCTCTTGCATTGACGATTTTAACCGTCGTTGATGTTCCACACTTGGTTTTGTTTCACTTTACAATTGAATTTTGTGCTCGCAAATTCCCGTGGAAATCCCACGGATGTCTGCAATTGTCCATCCAATGGCTTGCCTATGCTCCTTCAAGACTTCCAACAATTGTTCTACTGCACATCATTCAACAAAGAAGAAACAGTTACCAATAAAGTATTATTTGAGCCAAGAAATTTATACCTCAAGTGTGGTGGAAGTTGTTTGAGCTCTAGTTGTGGAGGTTCAATAATAGAAGGCTTTGCGGGTGGAGTGACTCTATTCTCCAAGTCGAGAGAAAGCTTTGTCGGAGCATAAGTGTAGGACCCAAGCCCCTTTAATGCATTTGCCGATTCCATGTAGCCCTCCATATCTTCACCATCAAATTTCACCAAAATAGCCGCCAATGCTTCACCGAGGAATTGTTCTTCCATTTTCATTTCAACCGCATCCCCTACTTCATCGACAATATCGATCACCAAAATGCTTTCATACTTATGCGGAAGTTTCATACCCTTGTTGCTTGGAATGTAACCTCTTCATCATTCGCCCGGAATTTGATCTCATTCCGTTCCGAATCCATTAGTTCTCTTCCAGTGGCAAGGAATGGTCTCCCCAAGATGATCGGTATCTCTTTTTCAACTGCACAATCAAGGATTACAAAGTCGGCGGGTAAATGAAATTTTCCCACCTTCAAAAGTACATCATCAACAATTCCCATCGGTTGTTTGATGGAACAATCGTCCATTTGCAATCTCATACTTGTGGGCCTTGACATACCTAATCCCGCTTTCTTGTAAATGGCAAGAGGCATCAAGTTGATGCTAGCTCCATTATCACAAAGGGCTCTTGCAAAATCATATGCCCCAATAGTACAAAGAATGGTGAAAGCTCCCGGGTCTTCTTTCTTTTGAACGGTGGATGTTGCAATGATGGAACTAACCAGGTGAGTCACATTCACCACTTCATTTTTGGTGGTTTTCTTCTTGGTGATCAAATCTTTCAAATACTTAGCAAAACCCGGTATCTCTTGAAATGCTTCCACAAATGGAATATTCACTGATAATTGCTTGAGAATGTCATAGAACCTTTCGAGTTTGCTATCATCAACCTTCCTAGCGAGTCTTTGAGGGAATGGAGGAGGAGGTATCGGAATAGGTGGAAGAGTTTTTGGTGTCTCTTTTACCTTTTCCTTTACCTCTTCCCGGTTCTCTTTTTGCACTTGCACATCTTCCAGAATCTTCTCAATTTCGACAACACTTGGCTCTTTAACCTTAACCCCTTTCTCGAACTCTTCTTCCTCAACCACGTGTTCACCCTCTCCTTGTAGTACCTTCCCACTCCGAGTAGTAATTGCCTTGACATGAGAAGTTGGGCCACTCCCACTACCCTTTGGGTTCACAATTATGTCACTAGGGAGTGTTACCTTTTGTTTTGGATTTTGTTCCCTAGAGAGGTATCTCATTTGCATATCCAATTTTTGAATGGATGCGGTATGAGAGCCAACAAGCTCGGTCATGTTCCTCATAGAAGTGTCGGATTTTTCTTGATTTTGCAATACCCGTTCAAGCATACTTTCCAACTTAGACTCACTTGAGGAACCTTGATTCAAACATTGACCCTTTGGGGGAACATAAGGGTTTGAACTACGGTTTGAGAAGTTGTTGTTGTTGTTGTTCCAATTTCCTTGGTTTGAGCCACCTTGGTCATTTCGCCATTGTTGGCGGCCTTGCCCTTGCGGGTTTGGCCTCCATTGATTTTGCTGTCCTTGACCTTGGTATTATTGCCTTTGGTAGCCTCCTTGAGAGTTGTTAACATAATTTTCTTCCTCAAAATCCTCATTTGATATGGGTTGCACATCCTCAACCACATTTACCTTCTTCGTTTGGCTTTTAGTGAACATCTTTGTCACCGCATTAACATTTGTAGCAAGCCCTGCAATCACCTGATCTCTCTCTTGATTTTCCTTGATCATGTTACTCAAGGAAGGAGAACCATATGTAATCCCACCTGTGGTATCCTTGGAATGCCATGCTTGATTATGCTTTGCCATTTTGTCAAGTATTTGTGTCACCCTTGTGAATGATTTGTCCATGAAAGATCCGTCAGCTGCATTCTTGGCTATAGATTGGTTCATAGGATCCAAGCCCATATAGAATTTTTCCAACAAGATAGAATCCGAAAAACCATGGTTGGGAGACCTCACCAAATATAATTTGAAATGATCCCATGCCTCATGTAGATGTTCTCCCGATACTTGCTTGAAAAAGAAGATTTTATCCCGAAGCTCAGACTTTATACTTTGCAGGAACCATTTGGACAAGAATGTTCGGACAAGTTCGGGCCAAGAATGAATGGAGTTTGGTGGCAGATTTTGAAGCAATTTCCTTGCATCCCCAGCTAGAGAGTACTTGAAGCATCTCAACCTCAGGGCATCATCAGAGATATTTTTCTACTTATGCATCGCACAAACACCCAAGAAGTTTCTAAGATGTTGTGTCAGATCATTATCAGTGAAATTCCAGAAAAACCCCTCCGCTTTGAGCATAAGGATTAAACCATGTTCCACCTTGAAAGTTACAGCGCCAACAGCCGGAGGTACAATAGCATTTGTATCCTCAATGTACTCCTCGATGTCCGCAAAAGGATTTTCTTCCATTTCTGCCTCTAAGTCTTCACCATATTCAAACATGTTTTCCTATCAACACCAAGCAAAACAAGAGAAGTGTGATGGAATAGAATAAGACGTAAAGTAAAGCATACACTACTTAGTAATTTCAAAACCGTATTCCCAGCAACGGCGCCAAAATTTGATACGCTCAAATTATACTTTAATAAATAGTGTAAGGCGGTCAGTGTCAAATATAATAACCCAACAAGGTTGGGGTCGAATCCCATAGGGAATAGGTGTGAAAAGGTTACTCGAATAGTGTGTTGCTCGACTAAAGTCGTAATCCTATCCAGTTAATGGTAACAAGAGTATAAATTTGAGTTTGGTTTGAAGTAATAGCTAATTGTAATGTTGAGAATGTAAATAATTTGATTAAAGGAACCAAGGTTGTGTCCCCTTTAATGAAGTGTAATTCTATCGGAGTTAATATGATATATTTCTAATGGAAGATCCTCTTGATATGCAAATGATGTCTAAATGATTACCCAATATTTTCAATAGTTAGGTAGTATTTCCTCTTTATGATTTTTCCAAACATAAAAGAGTTGTAATTAAGAACAATCAATATATGCCAAATAAAACCCATTTATTCTTAAGAGATTCTATTAAACAAGGTTTAAAGCCTTGAGTATTTGATATTTACTTCTACCAAATTCTAACCCACTTTCCCAAGCAAAACAAGAATTTAATGGCATTTGTTAATGTTTGCAACCACCAACAATAAATGAAGAATCAGAAGTAGATAAATATCAACCAACCATTATATATATATATTCATTGTTAAACACCCGTTAACATAACACCCATTTAGGGTCCACAACTTTAGTATTTAAAGTTAGCTACACATGCTAAAATACAAAAAAGGAAAAGAGTATTTACTGCCATAAAGCTTACAAAGTGAAAGATTCTTGACCCAAAAGCTTCCAAAAGAGAGGAATATTAATGCCTTGTATTGTAGCTTCCAAGTTATACAAGATGAGCCCATAAAACCCCAATAAATCTATTTATAGAGGGCCAAAATTCGGGATAGAAAACGGACAAAAATGCCCTTTCAGGTCAAATATACGACTGCATTTCTGTCGCATAACAGACATGCGGTCTGCATTCTCGTCAAGCGCATCGCACTCCAAAACCCTAGTTTCCAGGCCTCCACCGCATTCATGGTTTGCGGTCCGCATTGTGGGAATGCGACCGCATTTTGCATCGCATTTGCTTCCTTCAGAAGCCTTCATGTTTAGTCTGCGGTCCAATATGTGGCTCGCAAACACGTTATGCGATCGCAGACTGGACCACATTTTTGACGTTGAACTTTGCCCAGAAGACTATTTTGGTTTGCGATCTCAATGTGACATCTGTGGCTCGCATATGGGTTTAGCGATAGCATATCCACACTTGCGATGCCTTTTTGCTCTATTCTTATCTTTTTGTGGCTTTTTGGACTCCTTTTCATGCTCTTAGGTCTTTAAGCCTTACACACGTAAAAACACTAAAATAACATAAGTACACAAGGAAATTGCATTTAAAACAAGCTAAAATCTAAGAAATTAGTATCAAATGTGCCAAAATTCTCCGGCACATCACTCAAGCCAATCCAATGCCTTCCCTCTAAGTGAGAATGGGAAGAGTTTCAACCGTAGTGCATCTTCAGACACATTAGATTGCTTGCTCCCCCAATAGGTATTCATGAACCCCTTGAGATGTTTGTAAGCATTTTAATTGGCAGCGCCCGTGAAATACCCATGCTGCTCCAGCAATGTTAGCATCATATTGGTTATTGGAAAATTGCCCGCCTGGATTCGGGGTGGGACAATAGAACTTGCATAGCCTTGGTTCGGAAGCACTCGAGGAGCCACTCTTGGAAGTGGCGGAGGAGGGTCTGGAATATTGTCATTGGCATTAACATTGTCCTGGAGGCCTCTACGTTTTCCTTGAGGTACAATAGGCACCTCATCATCTACGACATGATCTACCTCCTCCCCCGCAATCACATTTCCAAGAGGGTCATTGGCATTGTTTGCTGCCATTTGGTACCTGAAGTTGTGACACACACAAATTAGTAACAAAGAAGGAAAGAAGACCAATACACAATACTAGATAGATAGATAGCCAAAACCGTTAGCTCCTCGGCAACGGTGCCAAAAAGTGATTGAGGCCAACCCTGCACTATTATTGAGTAGCGAGAGAGGTCGAAGCAGCTTTTACCCGATTAGGTCGGGATCGATTTCCACAGGGAGCTAGATATTGGAGTTGAATTTCTATCTAAAGTGGAGTTGTGTATTTGTTCTAAATTACACTTCTAAATATTTTGGATTTTGATTTTACTTCTAATTGTATAATACTACGATGCTAAATTATGCTAAATAAAGCTACGATTAGACTATTGAGAATTGATCAAATAGATAAAAGACACTAGGGTAGTGACTTTCTCCTAGGTGGTTAGTTAACAGATTCTTAAGTCTAAGGCTAGATTGTCATATTTTGGGAGTATGATATAACCATTGCACAATTCTACTCACTCTACACCTCTCGGTGGTTCAAGTGAT